AGGTAAATTAATTTTGATAATAGTTTACAAGCTTGTTGCTTAGCTATTACAGAGAATTTCCTTAAGAAATTTGTCCATAGTATATTTAACTTTTGTTTATTATTGTTCCAGTGATGTAAGATCGGACTGACACAATTTAAATCGAGTGATTGAAAACATCATTAATCAATTTTGGCTCTTTTTCTAAACCTGAGTTCGAACATTTCATCTAAAAAATATTTAATGTAACCTAATCTAAACTTACAAACATTGGTAGTACCTAAAGTTTAGGTTGTGTTTAGGTCCTAAACACAACCGGAACAACAAACCAAACCGTGAAATATAGCAGGAGAAATTTTGTCCATGGTAATTATCAGCGTGGGTCACAGATGACACTTGTAAGCTATTATCTCAGCAATTTACCTAGTACATTTGGCACATCTTTTATCTTTCCTATATAATATATTGACAAATTGGAAATGGCATTACATCTATCTATCACAAACAAAAGTGCATTAGTTAACATACTTGAAGCTATATGAGGATGATTGTAGGAATGCAATGCTTGATAAAATTGGAGAAGGGCGATGGGGAGACGAAAAATCTTCGGAGTTGAAGGTAAAATATCACGAGGGTACACAGCGGTCTCATAAAAATATATACATTTCCGTCGGAACCGGTTATTAGGACATTTAAATATTTTTTTCTTTATTATCATCTTAATTTACATAAATTGTATTTCAGAGACTTTATCTATTCATATATAACTACCGGTAGTTTGAACATTCAGGATAAGTATTTTGGGTGCCTACCCACACCCGAGGACTTATCCCGAACTTTCCAATAATATTGTCAGACTACTAAATGGTAACCCAACAAAAAAAAAAAAAATTTAAAAATGAATTACGGCTCGGAGGGCTCTTTCGGGATACAATACTAATAAGTAACCAGTGTTTAAAAAAAATGGCCATTTGTTGTTCACATTTTAAAGTTTCTTATGGCATTCGTGAATGGCCCTAACTTTGAGTCCCAGCCATGGTGGATGAGTGGGCTTCTACTTATTATCAATTCCCCATCGTCGTCAACATACTGTACAACCGTATACAGTAATGAGGTACTTTTACCAGATCGTCAAAAAATACCTCTTAGCCCTTTGACTGATCAGTGTGCCCCCCAGATGACAGAATTTTGTGATTTCCAAGAATAATGATAGTATCAATAATTATTCCATATACAGTACTGTACCAATAAAATTAACTTCCATTTCATTTAAAACAAATGTTCTAGGCACAATAATTACCTTCCTCATCTAAGTGTTTTCAGTCAAAACTTATGGTTGATTGTTGTTGGTATAAAGTCATTAACATAATAAAATCATGTACAGTGTGTACAGTAAAAGAAAAAAAAATTATATCACCCCCACTAAGCGTTATGTTCCGAAACCCATGTTGAAGAATGTGGGTACTGCAAAGTTCCCCTTCAGTTAAAATAAAGCATCATTGGTATTGACAGGGGAGCTTTACCAAAATTCTTCATCATGAGCATAACACAACTTTTTTCTTTTGACTTCCATTTGAATAACAATAAAACCTGTAATGAAA